TATTTTGTACCAGGTATGTATAATTGTATATCCATCACACACTTTATTTTAACAAGTTTTTATAATTTTATTTTTAATTTTAGCCCTTATGTTATGGCTAGCGATTTTAGAAAGTAATTGCGATATTGAAAATTTATTTCAAAAATGTTTTGGCTCGAGACCATATAATGAAAAAGAAAACATTATTAAAAGAGAAAGACCAATGCCTAAATCTAAATATATAAAATTGCTTGTCCAGACTGACTGACTGAATGACTCACTAACTGATTCATCGCCCAGAGCAGACCGCTTAACCTAGAGGTGAAATTTGGTAGACAGTTAGGGTACGTCATGGAAACGCACACTAAGAAGTGATTTTTCGAAATTCCCAGCGGGGGGAGAGTATTAAGGTTTAACCGGAAGAACGGCTTCTACTGTACTATTTTAGATGCGATTTTTTGTTTTTATCTGCGTTTTAGTAGGGTATGCCATGGCAATGCACACTAAGAAGGGATTTTTCGAAATTCCCCCGCGGGCGGGAGAGGGAGAGGATTTAGTCTTCATCGAGAACTTAGGTGTATTAAATTAATAACATTTCAGACATTGTTATAAATATTTTTATCTATCTCGATTTTAAAAATGTTCGAACCGTTTTAAATTCGAATTTGTTATTGCATATTGGCTCGATTATAGAATGATTGTAAACGTACCAGAAAATTGATCAAATTGAAAATAGTTCGTTTGATTCTCGGCAATGTTGAAATACTGAATATAAATAATGGGGTTTGCTTGCAAAAGCCGCGAGTAACAGCTAGTTAAATATAAATACGTCAACAAAAAAAATTGTTCGACATTTTCACGATAAAATTTTTGAAGACGTAAAATGGCTTTGTGGATGCATAAAAATGCAAAAATTGTTTCGTTGGCCTTGCCTACTATTTTCAAATGAAATTAGTGTGTGGAATAAGAACGGCTTTGACAATTTAAATAATTTGAGTAAAGCTGGCAAATGACACGAAAATCGTAAATGTCACATCGATTTTTTCGTAAAATTGAAGCAATTTGGAAATCAAAGCAGAATAGAATTTAACATTAGTACACAATATAAAATAAATATTGAAAAATATAACAAGATAATTACGGCTAATAGATATAACATCTATTAATTTAGATATATGTTTTTTCTCAAAGCAAGAATTGGCATTTAGAGGGCTATTCAATCTAATAACAGAGGTAATTATATTGAACTTGTTTATTTATTAAATACTGTACGTCAGATAATCTATTAAAAATACATTTAAGAAGTGTATGGTTTTAACTGTTTTATCGAACAAACGAAAAAGAATGGACCCTCACGCCCAAGTAACTGATTGCCCCTGTAGTCGGCTTCTTACAGAAACACAGCTTCCCTATCATCAAATGTCACGGCACGCCACTGAGTTTTACTAAATTATTGATCATTTATTTACCGAGCTGTCTGTTAGTGATAAAACAACTATTATACGTAAACGATTTGTACACTTATTTTGCCCACATTCTACAAAGTTGTATTTATTATTTGATGTTACCATCAAATTATATCGAAGATCGTGCAATTATTTTTCCTGTCAGATCTGATATCGATTATATACAAATTCTACATAGTAATGATAATTGGATTTGCTCTTATTACCTCACAAAACATATTTGTATATTTGATTCTATAAATTACTGTAAAATACAGTCGACTGCGATGTGCATGGAATGGTTTTTGCTGTCTTCTTAACATTTGGTGGCAAATCCGACACAATTCNTACAGAAACACAGCTTCCCTATCATCAAATGTCACGGCACGCCACTGAGTTTTACTAAATTATTGATCATTTATTTACCGAGCTGTCTGTTAGTGATAAAACAACTATTATACGTAAACGATTTGTACACTTATTTTGCCCACATTCTACAAAGTTGTATTTATTATTTGATGTTACCATCAAATTATATCGAAGATCGTGCAATTATTTTTCCTGTCAGATCCGATATCGATTATATACAAATTCTACATAGCAATGATAATTGGATTTGCTCTTATTACCTCACAAAACATATTTGTATATTTGATTCTATAAATTACTGTAAAATACAGTCGACTGCGATGTACATGGAATGGTTTTTGCTGTCTTCTTAACATTTGGTGGCAAATCCGACACAATTCGATACGATCATAAATAAACGTGTTCTCAATTCGTCTAAATTAGAGAATTTTTGGAAAATTCAACCATTTCCACTTGCTCCAAATAATAATTTGAAAAATATTTAAAGAATTATTTTCAAATTTATCTTTCCATTTATTTCTCCACTATGGAGAATACATATACATTTTTTGTCTTGTGGCTTTCCACAGATAAATACATTGTAGATGAGTGAACTAATATAACCGTTTATAAAGCACACGAAATGAATCCTTGCATCTAGATTCATTGTGCACATTATATTCATTGCATTTGCATATATAAAATGACATATAGTGTGTGTATATATCTATATAAAAAAAAACAAGCAAACATATTTTGGTTCAATAAGTTTATTAAAATTTTCATATCATAAATTGGAATGTATTTATGACTACAGTTTATCCGCAGTAAAATTTGTATAAATTTCAATTCCGATTCCATAACAGTATCAAATTAAATTTTTGATTTAAAGCTTGATATATTTTGTTATTGAAATTTAAATAAAATTCTAAAATAAAATATATTAAAATCAATGTAACAACATATGTATATATAACATAATCTATTACAGGAATACTTATCTTTGCCATAATATACATACTAAATGGAATGTTTTCATAAGGTGTAACACTTTATACTTATGCATAATCTAATACATTAAGCATTTTAGAAAAAATAGAGTTAAAAATAATCAATTTGGAGGGAATGTACTGCGGAAAGTTTCTTTTAATCCAGTTGTCCAATTAAAAATATAAGAAAGTTATGATTTGATCATGTTATATTTAATTATGATCAAAGTAGGATTCGATCATGTAGATTTATTTCTAGGAGTTTGGTAACGGTGAGATTCCTCTTCACTGGTAATATAGTTCAAAAGATCAATTCTTGTAACCACACCAATCACTATTTGTTTAGTTTCCACTTTATCTCTGGATTTAACTGTAAGAAATATTTAAATTAACATATAATCAATATCATTAAAAGTTTATTCTATTTATTAATAAGCACATTTGTAATTTTTCATTATGTTAGTGTTTATATCTATTTCATATCAAATACCTGTAGTTTCCAGAACTGGTAATTTTACAGTTTCTTTAGTTGTATGTGCTGTAAGAAGTATATCACTTATCACTTAATTCTGATTATAAAATAAAAGTTTCAATATTGATGATATTTTTTAAAATTAAGATTAGATTGCCAGGAAACAATTTATTTTATGTATTATGCAAAATGTTAATGTAACTGGATGGCAACTACAAAATACAGTAGACCCCCCTTTAATACTGTAGATACGTTCCGTCTTTTATGAATTTCATGTTGTACAAGTCCTTAAATACATGAGCCAATCACAGCCCGGCACCTATGCAGTTTACGGACTACGGCTGTTTGAAAGGTTTTCTTCCATAAAATTAATCGATTTTAGACTAATTTGACTCAACATTTCCAAAATACGTATAATTTTTTGGGAATAATCCATATAAACTATGCTATAAACAAAGAATTGTAGGATTACTTACCGAGTGTGCACTGTTCAACAACGGCATTGCTTAAGCTTGTTTTCGCCATGGAGCGGCGCATTGAACAGCGGGCGCGTTTCCTGATAAATTATTTTTCTGTGAAAAATTTGCTGAACTTTGGAGACATCATTAATATAAATATAATTTTTATGGCCGTTAAAATAAATGGTTTTTGGTAGGTCCGCTGCTTGTTTAAACTCAGCTGTTTGTGCAATATCCACTATTGGTCAAGATTTGACCAATCCCGTCGTGACATGAGTTGGTAATGACATTTTACTGTATTTTACGAGTTTCTTTTAGCCTGTTTATATGAATACGGTTGCAATTTTTTCGCTGTTATATACGAATCCATATTATATGAACCCATTTTATAGGGGGGGTCTACTGTAAAAGGTTATCAATCAGCAGTTAAACTATATTAAGAAGCAAATTTTCAAGTTTTGTGCTATTTGTGATAGAATTGTTAAAGNTTCTTTAGTTGTATGTGCTGTAAGAAGTATATCACTTATCACTTAATTCTGATTATAAAATAAAAGTTTCAATATTGATGATATTTTTTAAAATTAAGATTAGATTGCCAGGAAACAATTTATTTTATGTATCATGCAAAATGTTAATGTAACTGGATGGCAACTATAAAATACAGTAGACCCCCTTTTAACACTGTAGATACGTTCTGTCTTTTATGAATTTCATGTTGTACCAGTCCTTAAATACATGAGCCAATCACAGCCCAGCACATATGCAGTTTACGGACTACAGATGTTTGAAAGGTTTTCTTCCATAAAATTAATCGATTTTAGACTAATTTTACTCAACATTTCCAAAACATATATAATTTTTTGGGAATAATCCATATAAACTATGCCATAAACAAAAAATTGTAGGATTACTTACCGAGTGTGCACCATTCGACAATGGCATTGCTTAAGCTTGTTTTCGTCATGGAGCAGTGCATTGAACAGCAGGCGCGTTTCCTGATAAATTATTTTTCTGTGTAAAATTTGCTGAAGTTTGGAGACATCATTAATATAAATATAATTTTTATGGCCGTTAAAATAAATGGTTTTTGGTAGGTCCGCTGCTTGTTTAAACTCAGCTGTTTGTGCAATATCCACTATTGGTCAAGATTTGACCAATCCCGTCGTGACATGAGTTGGTAATGACATTTTACTGTATTTTACGAGTTTCTTTTAGCCTGTTTATATGAATACGGTTGCAATTTTTTCGCTGTTATATACGAATCCATATTATATGAACCCATTTTATAGGGGGGGTCTACTGTAAAAGGTTATCAATCAGCAGTTAAACTATATTAAGAAGCAAATTTTCAAGTTTTGTGCTATTTGTGATAGAATTGTTAAAGACAAGAAGCATAAAAGAGAATGCAATTCATCAGAGAAACTGTGCATTATGTATTTTCCAATAGTTCATCATTTTATCACAAATGTGAAGATGAAAATATTAGTATTCAATAATTTTCATGAATAATAAATTATTATGAAACTATATTTGGAATTTTTATATTTTTATTGACTGCTGAATAGATGCTTCTGATTGATCAGTAAGCAATTTATTCATGGAAAAATTTTGCTTTCAAAAAAATTGACAAATTTTCTGAGAATTTTTAAATACTTTTTGTAGCTTGAACAATCAAATACTGTTATAGTCATAAAAGAAAGTATATCTGAAATAAAAGTGTTAAAACCTGTTGGATTTAATACAAAATGCCTTCACAATATAGGATATTTACTATTAATTTGTTTCTAAGTGACATAAATAGTTGATAAAATTTCTATTAACTTGTATGAGAATTTATGTAATATTTATACAAGATATCTGGATTGAGAATGACAATTTTAAATTACTGCTAAAATTCAGTATTTGATGTGTTGCGTGAGGAAGAGCAACTGTGTAAGTTTTACTAAAATTAATTGAGGTGTCTGGAGTAATTAGTTGTGACACTGTAGTCATAATTGTTAAAATGATGTTGGCTCAAGCAAAAGCACAAATTGCATGATAATACACCAAGACAAATTCCATTCTGTAAGGGCAGCAAAACTTTCATTGTGTTTGGAAAACATCCTTCATCACAAAACACCATCAAGGCATGGAAAGAACAGTTTCTGTCCATGAGAATGTGTTGAAAAATTACAAAAATAGGAAACTCTAATTTTCAGACAAGAATGTAAGGCTTTCTAACAAAGTTCATGGAAGTCCATTCATCAGCATACTAACCAACTCTAAATTTCCCACTTAAGTGCTGCAGATGTTACAGAACACATGGCAGGAACCTATAATTTAGATATTCTCCAAGCAAAAGGAGCATTGGAGATTTTATAATTTTGTGGCACTTGAAAAAAGGGCAAATGGCCACAATGTCTTTTGAAATTAAAGATTATGTAAAAAGAACTGTACCAAGTTTTGCAATAAAACTTGGTGAGTTTATCTTCAGATTTTATACCTTACTTTTATTGTTGTTCTTATCTAATTTTACCTTTACCTTTTTAAAATGTGTCAATCTGAATTTGGATAAAACACATTATTGTACGCAGGTTTGATATAAATTAAGAATTTTAAATTAATATTTTACACGAAATCTGTGTTGTGAATTACTAATTAATTTAAGCTTTTTAATGTACAACAGAAAAATTTTATTACCATTTAAAATATTTTGGTTCAATAAGTTTATTAAAGTTTTCATATCATAAATTGGAATGTATTTATGACTACAGTTTATCCGCAGTAAAATTTGTATAAATTTCAATTCCGATTCCATAACAGTATCAAATTAAATTTTTGATTTAAAGCTTGATATATTTTGTTATTGAAATTTAAATAAAATTCTAAAATAAAATA